ATATCAAAATTTTGCAAAAAACCCGAGGAATTCTCCTCTTCGTTTTCATCACCGCAGCTGTTCAAAGTTTGTTTTTTTTTGAAAAATTCAGGTTAATGCAATGGTTGGGCACACAGAGAGAGCAGGCCGGAAGATGTACTGGTCAGCCCATTCAATTCTTCTGGTCCTTATGCTGAACAAGCATTTGAAGGTATGAAATTAGCAACAGCTGTTTCATCGGCTCTGTTGGCTGCAACGGCCCTCGGCAGAAAACAGACTCAAAACAAAAAAAAAAAACAGATTAAAATTACAAAACAAAATGGTGTTCGGGACAACAACCAGAATCACCTGGTTATTATATACAACGGGGCTGATCGATACAACAGACAGACCCTAAGCAAAAAAAAGACTGACTCAGACAAAGAGACAGACTCAAAAACAAAAGACTGACTCGACACCGAGCCGATTTACAAACTCCGGTCTCCCGATTGCTCAAAAATGCGTGCCAGCGCTTCATCCAAAAACTGTACAAATGTTGCCCGCAGGCGGACTTTACTTTACATACTCGCAGATATCTGAGCCTCGAAAATCCAAACAACTGATAGTGGTGACGGGCTTTGCTGAGGTGGTGGTAGGATAACCTTGTTATCAATTCAAAATCCGCCACTTCATGAACGAAGGCGGGACATCCATCGGTACTGTGACCGGAACTGCTGAATGGTACGCGCAGATACCAAGGTAGCATCATGAGTGCGGGGAGATTCTTCGGGAGTGGGCCGGGACTCCAAAGGCTTAGATGGCCCATTCTTCGCCATAATCAGCAATTGCCCTAGACAAAGGCATGTGTGAGGTCGTGTGAAGACCCTGCGCCCTCGGGGCAGGTACTTTTGCAGTTGAGGATTCTTGCCAGATGCGCTGGCGAAAGGATCAGCTGGCGCTGCCCTTGGCTTTTAGACCCTTCCGCCGGCTGTTAGACGGGTGGGAGCTTACTGGAATGTCGGGCATGACAGGGGCCCATCCCGGTTTTCTGTGGCTTGAGCTGCACTTTGATCGGAGCGGGGAAAGCAGTCATCTACAGCTTTGGTCACTATTGGCAGCATGTTTGTTGCTGTTCATCCTGGCTATCAAAGCCTCGGACTGCACAGGTTGGCCAATCGGGAGTCGGCGTTCTATCTTTGCCTTTGCCTTTCCTTTGGCCTCAGCATTGATCGAGGGCCTGGGTTGGTTCTTTGGCATGCAGTGGCTATAGCGGAAGCCACTCATGGCTGGCTGGCTCTATCCAATCCGCCCCCAGTAGCGGGGGCTCCTGTGGTACAAAATTCCCGGCATACGAACGCCGCTGGCGGTGTAAGCGGAATTCCATTAGGCGGAGGTCTTGCCACAGACCTTTGGGAGGTCACCTATCATCCCCATCAGTATCAAAGGTGGTGGGCTCACGAGCCTGGTATAACTGGCGGAGCCCAAACCGGGTGCACAACGGGCGACCTGGGTGAGATATGACGATACTGATGTTTGGACCTCACTCTGGTGGAGCGATCCCCTGCTCCAATGCAGCCGTCATAACCACAACTTCTTCTGAATTTTGTGCCGCCATAAATCCTGCCTCAGCAAGGGGAGACACTGGCTGTTCTGTAATCAACTCTGCAACTCTCTGAATGAAAGGAACAAACAGACAGCACTTCAGCCAAACAGATCAAAACACGGGTGTAGCCCGAACAACTGTTCCCTACTGCTGATCACGTTCCCAGATTTCTGTTCCCCAAAATACTGAACTGATAACCCGGCGGATAACTGCATTTTCAAATTCTGGATACCAATGCCCTATAGGCCTGATGCCCCCAACTTTTGAAAACTGGTATGTACATTCCATGTAAGAGATACACTCTAAAGCACATAGCAAGTAAGAGAGAGCCAAAACACCCCTTGTTGGCGGTTAGGGGTTTCCCTTCCTATTTTGCTCAGGAGTAGGGGTTTTCTTTTTTCCCACTAATGCACACAGCAGTTCTCAAACAACTTAGCATCGGGTAAGCAACCTGCCAGCTTGGATGGTCACTATGGATCCAATATTGCACTAGTCGGAGATGTCAAAAAGGGTGCCCGGATAAACAGGGTTTGTGCTCCATACTGTCAAGAGCCCATAGCCGCGTCAGCCTTATGGACAGCCTTATGACAAGCAAGGCTCCGGCAACAACCAGTTTCAGGGAATGGGCAGATGGCAAAACATGTGTTCCTAGGGCACCAATGCACATGCAATGCAAAAGAAACATATAAATGAATCAAAATAGATCATCACGAGTTCGAGTCACAGCTCTCTAAAATCCCCAGCAGAGTCGCCAGAAACTGAACAGCGCCCGCGTGAGGCCTCACCTACAGTTCGGACTCTCGATTTGTAGTCACGGTTCTTCATCTGAACCCAAAGAGTCCAAATCTGGCAAATCGTTTGAGAAACAGATTTTTGAAAAAGTAGGCCAAACTATGGACTGCTTTTGCCAGAATACAGAGTCGCACCGGATAATATTTTAAAATGGCGGAGATTTAAGGAACCTGATCGGTGCCAGGAAGGCCACATGATCAGTATCACCGGAGTTGGTCTCGGCTCGGGAGTTGGTACGATCCGGGGTAAGGTCAAGCTATCGAGCACCGACTTTCGCCCGGATTTATGGCAACGCCAAAGGCTGGGCAATCCGAAGCCGCTCTACTAACCGTGATAATCCATTTTTGAAAACTTTTAATGTGTTCTTTTATTCAAATTATTAGCATTAATTACTAGTGTTATGGCGCACAGCAAACAAGTTAGAACTAGAATGTGACCTAATTTGGAAAGAAACATGCATATTCCGTTCAATTCGAAAAATGCTTCTGGAATTTCGCTACTCGCAAGTAGCTAAATTGCGGAATTCAACGAGTCTTAATCCCTCAAAGTAACGAATCCAACCTTCACCCACAAGGCATATTCACAAAACAGTTAACATAAGCATCTAGACATGGTAATCATACTTATGTTAAATTCACACACATGATGAGATGCTAAGGCAAAATTATCTTACAATCGTGATCGTGCAAAACAGTAAACTAGCCTTACGCAAAATGCATTTGTCTAGTTCATGGTTAAAATGGGCTAAATGCAACACAATGGCAAGATGCATCTAACAGGCTGGCTAACCCTAAATGGCATATGAATATGCACAAGTAACATGTATTTCAATTTGGAATGATAAAAGTACAATGTAGTTTGTATGATGTACCAGACCCGGTGCAATGTCAACAAATGCATTGACTGCACCATGTGCATAAGCATAGTAGGTATGCTAAAATAATTGCCCTAATTTTTACCATCATAAGCAGGTAAATAAAAGGGAGAAAGAGTGAAGGTTCGTGAAGACTAACACACCAACACCGCACACTATTACAGATTTTACCCCTACTCGGAGGGAGCCGATAATAATATTACAAATAATTAACTACGCAAGCTATTAATATACAAATTGCCTATTTAATTAACGAAATTTAAAATAGATAGAGTAAAAAGCCGTAAACGCAGTCGGGATTAACAGGCACGCCATATGGCAAGCTGCCTTGTTTTTCGTTCTTTCTCACTCTGGATGCTGCAAAAGCTTAGGACTATACACCTTGGACAGAGGGGATCTCACGGCTGAATGAAAACTCCAGACTGGCAGTGAGTATATGGCCATCGGCAGGCATGAAATAGGATCTGTCCGCAGACGGAAAAATATGTGCGGTCGGACACATTAACTGCGAGTCCGGCAGAGATATTCTGCAGAAACCTGCAACTCACAGCAACAAAGGGAAAAAAGCGCTGGGCAGCTATATTTAAGGCATGTTGCATCAACCATGTCTGCTTATCATTGCTGATGACTCAAAGGGACATGTGCTCTGGTTCTTGGACCACCAATACATGCATTTTTCATGCATGGTGCGCCAAAGAAACCGAGTCAGGATCACGAGAGCTTTCTTTGATTTTCAAAATGTATAGCCACATATTCAAAATCAAACATAATGCCACATTCCATATCACGGATCAAGAACACAAGGCATGCATTGCAAAATGAAATGCACTAGGGCATTTAATGCTAAGGATTGCAACTGGCATTGGAATCAACTCATATTGGAGCATACAAGCATGCATATGGCAATACAAATGAGTGCAAAGTATGGACTTAGAAACAATGAGATATTAGGGCGGCCTCTAAAAGGCCTAAAACAGTAGACCAATGTGCTAAAAAGGTTGAGGGCCTAAATGGCAATGCACACAAGAAGTACAATGCACATAAGGACAACACTTAAGCATTGAATCAAACAACATTTGGCAAGCACACTGAAAGAGGGATCATGGGACTAATTCATGCAACATGGACCTAAAATTATAATGTTTATAAAAGTTGATGCCAAATCAAGTTATAAATCAAGACAAAACATGCACCAAAAGGCCTAGAGCGTTCAAGCAAATCAATGAGTAGCATTGACAATACACTAAGCAGACAAACCAGGCATGCCAAAGAGAGACCCAAAATAATCAAGAGGTTTAGCGATTGTTAAAACAACACCTAAAGGACCCTTAGATGGTATTAAATGGCCCAAATACAAGAGGCATATCCATGGCCAAAACATGGAGACTTG